AGGGTTTCTCATGTGGCACGACAAATCTGATTGGTCGTCACTTGCAGTCGTCCTGTAGGTTCAAAGGACCTGGGTGTATGGATTTTAACTCTTGAATTTTGCTTATGCTTTAATTCATCATGCGGCTGTGATACTCCAAAGCACCGTTGCACCTGACATAGACGGTAGAAAGATCACCTGCATGCACACCACATGCAGCCTGACAGCCCAGCCCCAGCCCCACGACAACCCCCAACTGGATGAAGGGACAACCTATAGGAATCTATATAAAGCCCATGTGCGCATTCCAAAGACACCACAATAAACACAACCGGAATGGACCCTGCGTCAATTCAACTCTAGGTGAAAACCGCCGGCCACAGGACAGGGAACACGATTTCAGCACAGGTCCAGCTGCACTCTCTTCTTATATGTCTTCGGCATCAGGCATGTGAGAGGCGCAAGGCTGGTTGCGTTTGCCGTACAGAGCACAAGAGGTGGTTAGTGGGTGGGGCCAGCCATACAGCTCCAGAAGGATAGAACCACCGATGCTTGGCTGCTAGGCGCCGAACCAGCTGCTGAAGCTTCTTGTTGTATGGCATCAGGCCGTTGAGGGGTGCAAGGTGTAGCCGCGTTTCTACAATGCACGGAGCCTTAGGCCGTGGGAGCCGGGTTGGGGCCGGGTTCGGGCCGCTTCTCTGTTTTCACGGATTTGCAGGTTCACTTTATAGTTTTCATTACATTTGCTCCGCTGACAGGAATGACATTGACTCGTTCAGCATGGGTGCAAGTAGCGTCAATCAAGTAGTTAACGACACACGACCATATGATTGCCACTGATATATATATTGGACCTCCTTTGATCTCATGGTTTTGAAGAAGTTGAATGCAAGCTAGTGGCGTGTGTCTCTGCTTACCTCCGGTCTCTGCTTACCAGTTTAGAGTTAACGAATTTAATAGTATATATTTGCAACATTTGCATCGTTATAACCTGCAATGAAATGTATGGGTCCCGGGATGCCGTATGGTATCGGGTCCCTAAGGGTCCGGGACCTTTGCATAGCAATGGTCATGTTACATCGGAGCACCAATACAGGTGGCAAACACCTAAACTAACCTAAATTTCACTTATGATAAATTCACCGGCTATATTCATGCTTCCCAATGTGCTTTCGGTACTGCACGTCAAAAATAACCTCGTCCAGACACCTGTCCCGTAGCTGCTGAGCCTTGGGCGCTACACGTCTCTGGACTGCCAAATGGCCGTAGGTAGAGAGCAAATCGTCAGGACAAATAATGCCTCCCCACACGCAAATTGGATGGCAAACATTTTAACTAACCTCATCATAACATTTCACACACTCAGCGCGCATATCTGTGCATAATTATGACACTTTCAAGGTTGCACATTTACCAAGCTTCTAGCTGGCGAGTAACCTGTCCAGACAACTGCCCCGTAGCTACTGAGCCTGATGAGTTACACGTCTCCGGACTGCCATAGGGACGTGCTGCACCTAAAGTAGGCCCTGAGCTTAAGATAGAAGAAAAGATGTCAATGTTCAGATTCAAGATCCTCCCTTCATATCCAGTGACCTGCTCCACCACATACAACCCGACGTTTGTTGTATTCCGCTTCTTAAATCTGGGTCCAAACTGATACATTTTTCTGTCTAATTTTTCCTTTCTCGCTTGGCGCGGTTACTGGACAAATTCGCTGGAACTAACTGAATTCCAACTGCCTATTTTTGCCGCTTTTTCTGTCAGATCTTTATGGCTCCGACCTCTGGGTCAGACGGCGAGCGGGAAGCTGTCATGGATGCCAACAAGTAAACGCCGCCTCAGGCGGAAGTCCATACTTGCAGAAGTATGGGCGGGGGTCGTAGCACAGGCTACGACTGGGACGCTGGTCCCTGGCTCGCGGAGCCCCGTCATCGATTGGAAGCATGGATCAACGGTACGCCATTCCGGACTGGACCGCGCCTTTTCGGAATTGGCTGTACGATTCATGGGATGGCCGCATCCTCCGCTATTTAAGCGGGCGAAACTCTTCCAAATCGGTGTCTTCCGACGCCACCATCCAGTTGTGGTTTAGTAAGATACAACAAGTCTGGTATCGAGACGGTTCCTCCCGGGGCCTCTCACATTTCTGAAATTTTCAAGATCCCCCTTTTGCCATCAAGATCCCCACTTCTACCGGCGCGCGGATGGAGGTCGACGATGTCACCGGACCTTTGGCTACAATCGTCGACGCTCTTGGCGATGCTGTCCGTGAAGTCGCTGCCGCCGGTCTGTAAACTACTTTAGCAAATCTGTTTGCTGACTTTTTCTAGGATTTTGGGTTAATAGCGGTAAGACTGCTGCAGGCTCCGAACCGCCAGTTCCTTCGGCGGTCCCTGCCCTTTGCCGGAGGCTCTGTCAAGAGCTTCGTAGCACCCGTTCGGTGCTAGAACAGACTTCCAGAAAAATTGACAGTTCGCTTTACTTGGGTACGCGGTCTGCCTGATCTGGGTCAGGATAGTGGAAATGGAGCAGTCTAGGCGAAGTCGTTGGGGATTGCCCTCCACTATCAATATGACCAATGGAACTGTCCCGCCGCCGCCTATTGCCCGGAATAACAGTAACCAATTAATAAATATGAATAATCCCTCATCCGATGTTCTGATTCCTGCAGTGGAACACATCGCGGGTCGCGCCACCGGGACGACCGCCGGCGATGGAGAGAACAACGCCGCTACTGAGCGCGGCTTGCCCGCTGGGGCCAGCGATGAGGTGATCAGAATCACTATTCCGGTACCTAGGCTCAATATTCCTGCGGAGATTAAGCTTAGTGAATTATCGCGGGAAGTTGCGCCACGAGTCCGCGCCTTCGTCCGCGATGTCCGGAAGTATTTTGATTTCGTGCGGGGCGGAAATCATGACAGTATCCGTTGCTTATTTTTAGCTAACGCTCTTGAAGGCGCCGCGAAAACCTGGCATGATGACTGGACTAACGCGCGGTTGCAATATACTTCAGAGCAACTTTTGGAGGCGCTATTAATTCGTTTTGCCCCGCAGATTCAAACGCGCGAACTAGAAGCGCTAGAAAAGCTTGCTGCTGGGCAGCATCAGATGCGGGCAAACGAAACGGTAGCCGCGTACCATAGTCGTTTCGAGGCACTCATAGCACCCATTCCTGACTTAAGGGAGGTTGATCGGATTTTCTGGTTTATCCGCGGCCTTTCCTCTGAGTTCTCAGGAGAATGTGCTACCGACCATGACGGAAAGCCTTTTCAGGAATATGCCAAACTCGTGCAGCACACGCTTGGTGTAGAGGCACGTCAACTTGCTAAACTTCGTTCCCAAGCCCAAACCCGCGTGCTTCTGCGTGCTTCCACCGCTGTGCAGGATCCCGCGCCCATCATCACTGACGACGGGGACCTCCCGGCACCGGAGGTCAGGCCTCGGGCTGCTACTGTTGCCGCTGGGCGAAATACAGCTCGCCAGGCCTCCGGTGCTGGTGAGTCGAACCGTGGGCGCAGGGGTCGGGGTGGCAAGCATAGGGACAAGGGTCGGCCCAGGGCCGCTGCCGCGGGAACAGGGGCGACGGTGCTAGGCAAGCGTGGCCGGGATTCAAATCCGGCCGAATGGATGAATAAGTTTTACTGCACTCGGGCGGAGTACGAGTACCGCCGGAAAAATAGCCGTTGCCTCCGCTGTGGGGAGGATAAGCACCTAGTAGCAGAGTGCCCGTTGCTGTCAGAGAAGAGAGCTAGGAACGGGGAAAAATAGGGGGTTGCCCAGGACAGTGTTAGGGAAGCACTCCCTGGGTTACAA